TTTGGTCGCGCTGAGGCTGGCATGCGAGCACAGGGCTGGACCTTCGGAGTCTTCTTTGCCGCTCCGGCCGCGTTTCAGTTCCATCGGGGGGAACTCCAACTTTTGAAGCCAGAGGGAAGTGAACCACTTTTGGGCCCCCCTGATTTTGAGGCAAACTGCGAATTTCTGGTAGGATCCCCAAAATATTGTAAATGTATAAGAGGGAGACCAGGTAATGATAATGATTGCAGCTTCTTTTTGGTCGGCCTTTTTGCGTACTTGAACCTGGAACGTTGCCAACAGGAACTCTGCGTATTCAAAGGTAATCCTCAATCGTTGGGTGACAAAAGGGACCCCCTGCGCGGGCTTCCCATGGACTGGGCTTCCGGATGTCCATGGTCCACTCGCGAGGGACATGGCACTGACTCAATTTCCGCGCCAGGAAGCTCACGGGGCAAACCATCATTGTGACCATGGCTCATATATCAGAAATCGATGCGTGGGGATGCTCATGTACAACGATCCAATTGGTTTTCTTGTTTGCAAGGAGTTATCAGCTTGTTCTGGGAATTTGGACAGCCATCGTAAATTTGATCCCTGACTAATTAGGCGCCAAGTTGTGAATCGGGGATCTCGTCTATTTCAAACCCCTGCCGTTGGGGGACACTCAATGATTAGCAGTCTCCGAGGATCCCTTTTAACATGCCATGCAAACTGTACCATTCAGGTCCTTCGGCATGAGGCCTCTCAGGTCCGTTAGGTCCATACTGAGAGCCTGGGTCCATACTGTAGCCTATGCCAGGTCCTCCTCATCATATTTGGCCAGATCCTCTTCCTCAGCTTGTGCCGGCGCTCAGCTGCGCTCAAAGATCCATGGAGTCTCTCACCCCTCAGCCACTGGCTCGGGTCCAAGAAGAACTCGGAGACTCTAAGGCTATCCCCATGCGACTTCTTGCGGGCCATATGTTTGACCAATGGAGTACTGGCCATACCCTAACTAATGGGCCCATGAAGGGTTCTCAAGCATTTTGCCCCCTATTGCCACGCGCTTGTTGGTTTTGCGTTTTGCGGTTTGCTCGGAAACCTCTGCCGCTTCTTGCAATGAAGTCCTCGCAGACTCCGCATCAGTCTTGAAATGATAGGTGTTGTTTGATTTACCTTGCAAGTTACTAGTCCATATTGGTCACCTGCGAACAAAGCTGGTTCGCAGTGTTGCCTTTTGGTTCTGTCGTTTTGTGGGGGGGGGGGGCTTCTCTCGAAGATGGCACGCCAGAACAGGGAGTCTCATTTTACTGTTGCCATGGCCACTACGCAAGGAAGGTAAGATGAAACCCTCAAAGCACTCGTTGGTAGAAAAGTATCCTGACCCCTCCATTGTCCGGTTCCTTCGCTATTTGTTGAGGAAAGTGTGCTTCCTTAATCAGGGACTTTGTTTTTTGCTTCAACGAAAGACGGCGTTTCCTGTTGCCTTTCTTTTTCACCACCGTCCGAAAGGGCGTCCACACCGCCACGTGATTCCCCCGTATTTTCAGGGGTGTGACTCGTCCCGATTCAGGTTCTTGTCCATGTTGCTGTCCAGATTCGACGAGGTCCAGGACGCTTCACGGCAAGCGTTGTATGGTGCCAAGGGGAAAGGGACGCTTGAGCTGCATTTTTGGAGACCACTCTTGCCGCTCTATTGTTTGAACTGTACCAGAAAGAACAACTTGCTGGACCCCAGGTAGTCCTTTGTAGGCGATTTAACATGGCGGTTTGGCGGTTGGCGTGGGTATGTGTCAGAATTAGGGAAATTAGGAAGCGCTGTTGGGGCAGCACAAAAGAAAGCCAACAGGAAACGTATGTGGAATGGTTTCTTTGTATGACAAAAACAAACACGTGAAAATTGGCTTCATTTCCTTTCAACGGTCATGAATGCCGATGAGCTGCTGAAACTTGAGATACCATGATACCGTGCGTGAGGCCTGTTCCGCACCGTTTATGGCTGGATGTGCATATGAGCTGATGGAGGATTTCGTGCATCCAGTTCCACCTTACTTCACGTCCGCTTCTCATATTCCCGCTGCGCTTCGCTCCACTCCACTCCAATAAGACTCACTTCACTCCACTCCATGAATACTCCACTCCACCCCATTTACACTCACTCCACACCGTTTAAGCTCACTCCGCTCCCCCCTAATTAAATTCACTCCACTCCACCCGATTCCGCCCTACTCCGTATCGCAAAAAGAAACTCACTCCTCTCCACGCCTTTAAAGCTCACTCCACTCCGCCTCTATAAATTGACTCTACTCCACTGTACTTCAAGCCAGTTTGCATATTTGCTTGTCTCTTCACTTGCTTTTGTTTGCTTCACTTCAGCTCACTTCCCCTCACTTTCCCTCACTTTAGATTCAGAGCGGCCAGGACGAAATGGAGAGGAAGGAGGCAGAGCTCAGGAGCAAGACGCGGGCCGATGAAAAGACCCACAGCACCTTGGCCGCATGCCGTCACGGGTCCACCATACTTCCCAAGTTCCTGGACTTCATACTGGTTGCTTTGATCCCACCCGCCTGCCAGAGTCCAGCTAGACTTCATACTTTTGCAAGTACAATGTGAGTGGCGAACAACGAGGTTGCATTGTGATTGACCAACAATCAACTCAGAAAGTGAGCTGTAGTCCTGATGCTTCGTCGAATCAACATCAGTTTTTGGGCCATTGCGGGCCATTGTCAATGTAGCTTTCTTTTCAAGAGGTATGTCGAAGGGGGCGCATAGCATCAGGAATCCTGTGGAACCACGCGTCAAAGCCCTACGGTCATGTTAGAATGATAGAGATAATGATTAGTGTCTGACAGCAGAACAAAAGGGTGGCATGGGTGTGTCCTGGCATAGACAGCTCTCTTTCAACAGGAAACTGAGACTTAAGCACCCACGTCCAGTCCCTCACTTGGGAAAGCCGCGCGTGATGAGGCACTGTGCCATGCTTGAGGCAACAGTTTCACTGGCATCACAGTTCAAGATACTCACTGTGGCCCGGCCTTCTATCCACTCCTCAAACGAGCTTCCACATTTGGATCTCTTGGTCTTCGCTTAGGAGAAACCAAGTCCGTACATATCAAGATATATCAAGCAATCTCAAGCACAAACATGCCACTCAGAAAGTGGTACGACATTCCGCACCCTCTATATACCACCTTTTTTTCGATCACAGGGGTATGAGCCTTTGTCGATACGGGAGCTATGTCCGCGAAATGCGATCCCTGATCTGCGGGCCGGGTTTGTGTCAGGGAAGAATCTTCCCCCAAGCATCAACCTCGACAGTTTCTGGTGTGTTGAACCAAACACCTTTGGGAGCTGTTTCTTCCTTCCAACATAATCTTGGTACCACATGCACCTGCCTTAAGGTCCAGAACGTGCAGAGGCCCCTTTCCCCCTCCGACGGATTCAAGGTTTGGGGCTGTCAACCGAATCAAGAATCGCCTTCAGAACAACTGGGAACCGAACAAGGCCAAGCAAGAACCCACAAAGGAAACCAAACCAACTTTGAGTTGTTCCTTCCAACGCACGACAAAACGGCTCCGACTCTAGGCTTGAAGTCTCTCTTCCGCGCTGCGGCCTTGGGACCGGGGGCCTTCAGCAAGGCATGAGGGCCAATGAACCCAGGACATGGCGGCTTCCTCAAGGCGCCCTTTCCAGAAAGGGTCCCCTCCCCCCCAAAAAACAAAGTATACCGATGTCATGGTGATGTCATGTTTTCCAAAGGAGCCGTGTTTTGGCTTGTTTTTGACGTAAACAAGGGTAGTTCAACCAGCCATTCAATGCGGGAAGTCAACGTTTGAAGTGAACCCAACCAAAAATGCAACCACAAGGGGACATGTGCATACCTCTTCTTTCGCACGGCTTTGCTCTTACTTGAGCACTCACTGGCAAACAAACCATGTCGAAAGGCTTATTGTGAACCACTTGCACAGGAATTCCAGTCGTACCCCTTCTGATGCTTTCTGTGGGCCCACACGGGTGTGACCTTCATGACCCGAGCCCCGGGTTTGCCTGGTTCTAAGCGGGTCCAGCGGTGAGTGGCAAGCCAGGGCTTTGTTTTTGAGTGCAGCGGTTCTGCGGTTCTGCGGTATTTGCCATTCGTCAAACGGGTTTGTGGGGTGTGGGTGTGGAAAATCAACGTTCTTTGTAGACCCTGGAGGGTAACGCACTGTTTTCCTATAATCCAGCCTCTGAAGTCGGGGGGGTAGGTTATAAGCTGCGGCAAAGCATTGTGGCCAGTGACGCGGTTCTACTCCCTAGTTTTATATGGGTCAAGGCATGCACACAGCAGCTCGTGTGCACTGTTCAATATTTTTGCAGCGACAGGCCCCCCGCACATAGTGACTCTTTGCCTCACATGTTCAGCACCTTTGCACACTTTGACACTTTGGCAGATTTCACGTGGTGCACACCTGGCACATGCTGCCAGCGGGATTCTTCAGGTGTGTTTGTTTTTTAGTGTACCTCGTCGTGGCTTTTTTTTCTCGGGAGAGAGCAATCCAGCCACTGATTCCGAGGGTTTCCGGGGCACAACTCGGGGGCTTGCCAAGGCTGTCAGCAGCTTGCGGAATGTTGCAACCACCTGGCGGGAGGCCGTTCAGGAGAGGAAGGCCGGACCTCAGTCCATTGCTCCAAGAGCTTAATATTGGTATTGGGCCCTGTTGTTTTTCCTGGAACTGGGGACCAGCATTCGGGTTTTTGGAGCAACCATTCACTCTGACCACTTGAGGTTGGTACAGGTGGATGACCCCAGCCCAAAACTAATGCGGGGGTGGCTTCTGCCAACGTACTTTGTGTGCTACTGAGCGATACCTGCGCGATTCCGAAACGATTCCGCCCAGTGCCATGGGCACCTGTCTAGCTTTAAATGGTGCACAGGTGCCTTTTTCTTGGTGAAAGCTTCTGCACGACGAACTCCGAGTGTGGTGGAAAAACGCACGTTGGACAAAATGTGTGGTGCGACCGGAAGGTTACAACTGCCTCGCCAGGTAGCGCCGGATCAGGACCTTGGCTCTTGCCGAATGTTTCGGTTCCTGTGGGGCCCGGGGCTGATTCCCAGGTTCACCGCCTGATGGCTATAAAGATTTTCACCCGGTTTACTTGATTCACCTGGCTCACCTTAGTTGGGCGAAGGCTGAGGTTGGTAGGGGTGTCATGTTCTTCTGGACCCTCGCATTGCATCCTCGGCTGGGACTCCACTTCAAGGTCAAGATGATGGTTTCCAGAAGAGGTCCCTATTTAGACAACATGGCCGCGATCTCTTCAAGAGTCCATCTAAAGTTGGATTTTCCCAACAAAAATGCGCCTTGTTTTAATTTTAGCGGGGCATGTGCAGCTTTTGTGCGTGCTGGCTGCCGCCATTATCAACGTACGTGAAGTCGATCGGGTCTACACACATACTCGCCCGGTGGGTGATGTTTGTCGTCGTGGGCGTCAAAACTATAGGGTCCGGGACACCCAAAAGCAACAGGGAGTAAAGCAAAGCAAATTGGGGTTCCACTTTTTGATACCTGGATGCCTGATGCAAAAGGGCCCCGTAAGTCTGTTGGCTTATTGGACGAGTCATTTAGTGGTTGCTTCTTGGAGCTCAATTTAGACGCAGGTTGGGGTACAACCCTGCTCAAACGGTTGTCCTCAACACATCCGCGTATTCTGGGCCCCCAAATTTCGGAGTTGCGGTTGCAGTCAGCCTACTCCGTGCTGGAAAACACAGCTGAGGAACTGCAGACCTCTCTATAAATCCCACGTTTGGATGGTTTGAACAAGCATCACCTTTAAGATGCTTTAGGTTGGAAATGCAGGGAACCTTTTTTTGCACGCAGTTCATAAGGCCGCGCTTGCGCGCCGTATGACTGAGAACTCCTTAGTGGTGGCCGGCCATGGCTTGTCTCGCCGTGGACTCACCGCATGGTTTACGGAGCCGCTTGGCAAGAGAAGACTCCTGGCTGACCTGCGTATCCACTTGACACCGGTTTAAACGGATATTTGTTTTTCCAAGTGCAGTCCCCTGCAAAAATGTTGATTCCACGGTGTTCAATTGAATCAAGCTGTTGCTGCCTGTTGGCCTGTGTTTGCAGATTGCGCACTTCTGGACAATGTGGTTTCGACTTTAGCATCACCTTTTCACCCTGTTTCTCGTTGCTGGGTTTCCGTCATGTTCCCTTTGCAACAAGCAGGCAATGCGTTTGTAGCTTGCAGGTCCGAGTTTGGCCATTTGGCGCGTTCTCGTTTTGTGTCAGCCGAGGAACGTTGGGGAGGTGCTGGCCTTGGATGTCGTCAGCCGGAGAGTCGTCCAGTTGGAGCTGACAATTACTCGCTTTTGTGTGTGAAATGTTGGGAAATACGGCTCAGAAACCAAACGCATGTGCTTCTCAGAAACTACGCTTCAGAAATCAAAGTTTTCCGCTTCAGCAACTACCTCAGCTCAGAAACTAAACTTCACGGTGTGCCTCGGCAACTAAAGAAGTTTCGGCTTTAGTAACCTTAAGGCAGGTGCCAAAAAGGGGGGTGGAGTGCGGACTGGTAACATTCCTTGGAAGTTGGACACAAAATCATGTTGCCGGACATGAGTATTATATTCTGTTGAATTGGTGCGTGCCATTGCTGCGACGCATCGTGGCGCATGGGGTTGGGTGCAGTATGGTGGGGTGGGGGGTGGAGTGGGGCGTTTTCAGTTCCATTGACACTTGTGCACGCCAGTTCTGTTTATTTGGCCCCCTTGGTCACCGAAGCAAGGCTCGGGCCATTTGGTTGCCCAAGCATGGTTTCAGAAGCAAGCTCAGTCATTTCAAAGGCTGAAGCATAGTTTGGTTTAGTCTCGGTATGCCAACAGTGAGAATGATACGGGAACGGGATTGCCAATCCACTGGGTTTCGGGGTCATTCTAAACTTGCCCCAAGAAACCGTCAGATCCCAGATGCCTCTATGGCTTTTTGGCTTCCATGGTCATGCTTGTAAGCACCTACTTGGGGCATGGCACCAGCATTTGGCAAGGATGGTCCAAATCATTTCATAATTATCACTGATATGTTTGCTTCTTATTTGCAGGACAACTTCAAAAGCGCTTACCAACCACAACATCTCCAAGTAATGAGTTTACCTTTGATTCGGGGCGCCGGATTGAATCGGGGCGCCGCAGCATGGGTTGCTGCATCGCTGGTTGATCTGGGTTGAAAATGGCTTTGGGCAATGGTTGTTACGCCGTTTGCAGCAGTGAGAAAAAGGAAGCCTGGCCCCTCTACAAGGTACCCAGTCCAAACCTTTCAGGTACCCAGTTTAATCCCCCAGGGTACCTTTTACAAACCCGGGATTGTTCCGGGTACTTTGCCAGCGTCCCGCCCGCCGCGCTACGCTGGCTGCTGTGCCACGCACCGCCCACGCCAGGGCCTCGGCGAGCGAAGGATGCTGAGGGTTTTTTGACAAACCTTGCCGGAGCAGTTTGAAACTTCATCTTACACGATTTTGGCTCAAATGTTGCGTCGCGCAACGTTGATGCTGCCACCCAGCGCAGACTCAAACAAACCTAGGGTTGGAAGTCGTCTCAAGCTGGTGGATGGATGGTACGAAGCCACAGAGCTCGCTTGCACGTTATCCTGGGAAAGTCTCCGGGGGAAGCTCTGCGGAAGTTTGGGGCGAAAGCGTACTCCCTTCAGGCCCAGAAAGAAGACTGCAAACGATGCTTCGCCCGACGTTTTGGGGCCAATTGGGAAGTTACTGCCTGGTATGTACGTGACACCTCAGCTCGCCGCGGACGCAAGTGGCCTGACACGCTGGCCGGAATCATCAAGAACGTTTCTGCTACAGATGGAGTGCTAGCAACTTCCTCGGTGTGCCGCATGCTGAGAAACAAGAAGGACTTGGTGCAGATTGAAGACAGCAAGGTGCCTGTCCTTATTTGCGAGAACGAAGAGCTAGACACAACGACCCCAAGAGGCAAAAACTTGTTCGGCAAGCTTGTTTTGGATGGGGAACTTGAGGCTTGGGTGCCAAAGTAAACAGCCAGAAGAGGTGTTGGTATTGTGACTGTTTTTGCTCCACTGTGTGAAAGACCCTGCTAGGCCGATTTATGCTCCATGCGAGTCAAGCGTGCCCTTCAAGTTGCCAAGTCTCGCGGCGTGGCATTGGGCACGCACAACAAGAAAGTCCGAGGTAAGGGCGCAAAGAAGCGCCACGAACAAGCCAAAACCTTCGCAGTATCAGTGCTGCCCCGCATTCAAAAACTCTGGGCCCAGGGTCTTGGAGGGAAGCGAATCACGAAGACTCTAAATGCAGACCGAAAAGCGCTCAGGCTGAATAACGACAAAACGTTTCACCTCAGCAAAGTTCAGCGCATCACAGCCCTGCTTGTCCAAATGAAAAAGCTTCCCAAGCGCAAGTAGGCACGCCCGCTGTGCCGGGCTTCCTTTTTTCCACTGGCTTAAAGCCACAGGAGTTTAAGAGACACGGAAAAAGCGGTGTTCAGTTGCCCAGACCACAAAAGCGCTGACAGCTTGTGCATCCGACGAAAAAACCGCTCCATTCTAGACTGATCTTTTGTGCTTCTTGAGAGGAGGAGCGGCTGCTGATGATGCACTGGATGGATGCGAGCTGCTCGCGTGTTGCTTCAAATGCTCCATCATTAAAGAGATCAAGAACTTGACATCCTGTAGTGGCTTTCCCTTGTTGAGCTCTCTTGCAGCAGTGTTGGCGATTTCCATGCATTGTTCAGCTGAAGCTCCTTCTTGTTCTACCTTAGTCAGGGGCATCGCAATGAACAAAGGGTAGATGTAAAACAGTGTGTGTGTGTGTGTGTGTGTGTGTTTTCTGTGGACCCCCCAAAATGGTGGGTTTTACATTTGGCCTCCCTTTGAAGCTAACCAGCAGGGTGCCCTCAAAGAAATTGCGCCGAAATGCCCGAAGCAAGACTCAGACACCTGCCGCCAAAGCGCCATAGTCCCTTCCACAATCTTGGCTGGTTGACCTGCTTGAACGGCTGCTGCCGCTCGCCCCTTCACCCGCACTGAGGCAAACCCCAAGTTGGATGCGGGAATCGGCGCTTCCTTCTTCCGCACGGAGGCTGGCTTAGCCTCGCCTTCTGAGGGAGAGAGCTGAGAAACTCTCAAAACATGGTTTTGGCGCTGCATCAACTTGAGAATCAATGGCTTCAAGCTTTTGGCTGCTCCGGCAAGCAAATCTGCACCGGGGTAAATCAGTACATGCGTCAGTGACCACTGCAAGCTGAGGCAACGTTTTTGTCCATGCTTGCAAAACTACACTCGTAATGTCAAAACTGCGCGCCCAAGTCCCCACTACTACAGTGAGCAGCACTAAACTCTGAAGCGGCCATCAAGGGATCACCTGTGCAAACGTAGTGGGCGAGACAAATCAGTAAATGCTCTTGTTAAAGCGATAGGCCGCCCGAGAGTGGACTTCCTAGCAAGCGGGTTTCAGTCCTGAGACTCATTCGGCGTGTCTTCGCAGTTGAACCCAGGGGGCGGGGAAGGTCCTTCAATCTCTGCATCCTCGCCCTCTGGCAGGTTCAGCGGCTCCTCGCACTTTTCGTCCGGGACCCCAGGCTGAGTGCGGTCCGCAACCATCTTGCTGACCTCCCCCATTTTGATGAAGCCGCACTGAACGGCATGCCCCTCAGAATCTCCAGCTTCGAGCCGGCTCAGCACCTCCAAGCACACAGTCATGTTCTCCTTCAGGCTTGCGCCGCGGATGCGCGCCTGCAAGCGGTGTTGAAGGGTCTTTTGGAAACGTGCTTGGGTGAGTGTTTTCCTTGCCCGCAAAACGAAATCTCGAAAGCTTGAATCAAACCGGGCAAAGGTGCCGTAATCAGGATCGTCAACGTAGCCTTGCAACGGACGCTGACGAAGCCTGACTTTGGATACCTCATTTCGTAGTAGTGGTGCCCGCCAGCATGCACATGTTTCAGTGGCGGAAGGTCCTGGCACGCACGCGGGTGGCTCGCGAAAGTCAGGATTTGCAGAGCCCTTCACCCAAGTCCTCGTAGATCTTGCCT